TTTCAAATAAATTACATATATTACCACAAAGTTTCAGAAAACGTCGGACGAGCCAAACAAAAGGATCAAATTTGAGGTTTTCATAACAAAAATATTTTCAAATCATTTACAAAAACCACGCCACAATCCTGTACAATTGCAAACCCCCCAAACAAAGGATAAAATGGAAGCTTTCTTGGACAAACTGCTGAACTGTGAACAAAGATTTTTTTTTTCCTCTTCCCTTTTTTTTCGATTTGAAAGAAGTTGGCCACATTGTGAGAAAAGCAACTACCCCACAGCGTAGTCTGCACCGGGAGCGGGCTAATTAGAGGTGAGCTGTGAGCTGGAGGCTGCTACTGCTGTGGAAGAGAAGAGATTTCTAGAAAAAAAAAAAAGAGAGAAAAATAAGTGGACGGAGAGAAGAGGAGAGGACAGGAGAAGCGACAGGAAATATAAAACAAATCTCAAAAAAAAAATCCGCAGTTTTGTTGTTGAATTTGACACGGGCAAGAGACGGGCATCAAAGTGTGCGGTTTTGGTTTGACTTCCTGCGGATTGGGAGGAAATTTGGGCAAAGAAACAAAGGGTTCGGGTAGAAAATCACGTTACCGCTGACGGTTAAAGCCACAGTGTGTAACTTTTTGGCAAATAAATCACAAAACGGATAAAAGATTGTTTTACTTTGGCTGGAATGTCTTGCAGCGCGGCCTTAAACATTTATTTTTCCTTTTTTGGTTTTGTTTTCTTGTGCCTTGCCTCAACTCTCCACGGATCTGACCCGTAACTCAACGAGATAGACAGATAATTAAAGCCACAGTGTGTAACTTTTCAGCTAAATCAATGATAAAATCCATAAAAGCGCGTTTTCTTTTCACTTCAGTTGTGTTTTTTTGCATTGAAAAACCTGTGTTCTTACTCAGCGTGAGCTCGCATCTCCACAAACCTGACTCGTATTTGGACTCCTCCTGCTCGTTTCCACGGAGACGCTTGTTCCTTTGGGGATAATATTCCGCAGTACGACCGTAAAACGTATCTGTAACCGTGGAGAATGTTCCAAAGTGTGGTTTTAGACACTTCTGTTTTCCTTTTTTGGTTTTGTTTTGTTGTGCCTTGAAAAACCTGCATTCTCGTCTCTCCTCTCCACGGATCTGACCTGTAACTCAACTAGATAGGTAGATAATTAAAGCCACAGTGTGTAACTTTTTTAGCTAAATCAAGTGATAAAATTGATAAAAGCGTGTTTTGTTTTGTTTTTTTACACTGTACTCGTGTTTTTTGGCATTGAAAAACCTGCGTTCTGACTCGGCGTGGGCTCGCATCTCCACAAACCTGACTCTTGTTTGGACTCCTCCTGCTCGTTTCCATGGAGACGCTTGTTCCTTTGGCGATAATATTCCGCAGTATGACCGTAAAACGTATCTATAACCATGGAGAATGTGACAAAGTGTGTTTGTTTTTTTTTTTTACGTGCCTCTTGTGTGGTTTGGTTTGGAGCAGAGTTTAGATTTTGGAGAAGAAATTTAAAGCCACAGTGTGTAACTTTTCAGCCAAAAAATTATATATATATAAAAATAATAATAATAATAATGGCATATTTTGTTTTTTGTTGTTTTCTGTTGTTGTTTTGGTTTTTTTTGCATTGAAAAACCTGCGTCCTTGTTGTGGCATCTCCACAAACCTGACTTTTTGGTTGTTTTGTTCCTTTTGTTACGGAAACGTTGTTTGGAGAATGTTCCGAAGTTGTTTTAACTTTCTATTTTTGGGGAAATCAAGCGTTAGGATTGCGTGTGCTCGTTTGATCGTTGTTTTTGTTGCATGTGGCATTAAACACATCTACGCTCCTTTTTTTGGTTTTGTTTTGTTGTGCCTCACCTCAACTCTCCACAGATCCGACCCGTAACTGAAAAACATGAGTCCTAACTGTGATTGTGCTCGCATCTCCGCAAACTCGACTCTTGTTTGACCTCATTTTTGCTCGTTTCCATGGAGACGCTTGTTCCTTTAGCGATAATATTCCGCAGTATGACCATAAAACCTATCTGTAACCACGGAAAATGTTCCAAAGTGTGGTTTTTGACACACCTATTTTCCTTTTTTTGGTTTTGTTTTGTTGTGACTTAAAAAAAACAACATTCCTGCCTCTCCACTCCACAGATCTGACTTGTAACTCAACTAGACAGATAGAAAGACGGGCAGATAAATGAACAGAAGAAACAGACGGAAAAAGTGTAGAAGTTCCAACGTCAAAATCAGACTTTGCTCGATAAATTTCGCTCCATTTGTGCCATTTTCAACTTTTTCATTCAACAGGCCGTCCTTCTTAATTGTTAATCGCCATAGCAACGGCCCAAACGTCTCACCGGTCACGTCCAGCCGAGCACAACGCCGGTGCTGTTTACATTTTGCGCGGGCTCGGGTTCGTCTATTTTCGGCGCGAGTTTATTTTCGGGCAGGTCTCGGGGGGGGGACACGCGGGAAGAGGAGCTCGACGAGAGACGCACGTTTAAGGTTTAAGTGAAAGTCAAAACAACGAGGAGACGAGAAACATTAAAACTGCACAACGGACGGCTCCTCGGTGTTTAAAGGTCGTATGGGGGATTTTTTTTGTTTGTTTCAAACTGTCAATGAAAGTTTAAAATCCCATGACAGAGACGCAGCAGCCTTGTAATTATGATGACCAAAAAAAAAAAGAATGAAAATCTATCAACTGTGGACGTGTTGAGGTCAGATAAACATCAGCCAATAGAAAACGAGGCTGCCTCATTTTCTATTGGCTGTTAGGTCGTCAATCAAACTCCCTACGTTTCTAGTGTAACTGACTCGCCGGCGCGCTGGGATTACGTGGTTTACGCAGCGGTTCTTAGAGGCTTTTTTAAAACTGTCGCTTCCTCGCATTTCGCACAAAGTTTGTCGCGATGGCGGACGAGAATCCACGACCGGTTCGCCGCCAAAGAAAGTCCGTTTTTGAGGTCGCTGAAAGACGAAGAGAAGCGGAAAAGGAGCGGAACCAAACTGAGGTGATTCTTGGAGATCTCGTCCAGCGATGGCGTGAATGAAGCGGACAAAGGGTCTAAAAACTGATGCGTCGGTCGATAAATTATTTCTAGACAGGAAACTTTAACAGTAATTCTGAACACGAACTTAATGTAAACAAGCGTGATTTCTAGAGTAAAGAGGCGGGAGGAGGTGTTTCTACTGAGGAGATGTGGAGGAGGAAGGTGGAGTCACACATGCACAACATTTGAAAAAGGACTGTCGCTGTATTTCTCTTCCCTTAAAAAATCCTCCATACAACCTTTAATGCGCTGTTACCGTGGCGACAAACACAAAGCGCCTCACTTGTGGATCTGAAAAGCCTCTTCGTTTTTTTTTTTGTTTAGGGGTGAGAAATATTGAAATTCCGATATATCCTACCGCACCAAACTTCCAAAAACGCGCGGCCTTTTTCTTTTTTCGTCAGCGTTTCCTAATGTGTGTATTGCGTTACCATGGCGACTGCCGAACATTACGCTAATAAAGAAAATATATTTTCTGATCTAATCTAATGCCGTTTCCTCGTCACAAACGGACCTGGAGTTGTGTTTTTTTTTTTTCATGCCCTCAAACTGAAAACACGCCGTTCCACCTTGTGATGTCACGTGGTGATACAGGAAGTGCTCCACTGTGTTTTTAAACTCCACGCACCTTCATTTTCTACAATCATTTGGATCATTTGAGCCCTGGAATTGCCGGAATCTCTACTGACGATTAAACTATTAAACTAACAAAAAATAAACCAGGATCAAACCAAGACTAAACCAGGACTGAACCAGAACTGAACCAGGACCGAGTCAGAACTGAACCAGGTCTAAATCAAGGATTTTAAACTTGGAATGAAGCAGCTCTGAAATGATTCACGACTGAACTAGAACTCAACCAGGACTTAACCAGGACCCAACGAGGATTGAACCGAGACTAAAATCAGAACTAAACCAGGACTCAACCAGAACAAAAATAGGATCGAACTGAGACAAAAATTAGAACTAAACCAGGACTTAACCAGGACTCAACAAGGACTCAACTAGGATTGAACCAGGATCAAACCAAGATTAAAATTAGAACTAAACCAGGACTCAACCAGAATTAAACCAAGCCTAAAATCAGAACTAAACCTGGACTCAACCAGGACCCAAACAGGATCGAACCAAGATTAAAATTAGAACTAAACCAGGACTCAACCAGGATCGAACCGAGACTAAAATCAGAACTAAACCAGGACTCAACCAGGACCCAACCAGGATCAAACCGAGACTAAAATCAGAACTAAACCAGGACTCAACAATGACCCATCTAGGACTGAACCAAGACTAAAATTAGAACTAAACCAGGACCCAAACAGGATCGAACAAAGACTAAAATTAGAACTAAACCAGGACTCAACCAGGACTCAACAAGGACTCAACTAGGATTGAACCAGGATCAAACCAAGATTAAAATTAGAACTAAACCAGGACCCAAACAGGATCGAACCAAGACTAAAATTAAAATTAAACCAGGACTTAACCAGGATTGAACCAAGACTAAAATCAGAACTAAACCAGAACTCAACCAGGACCCAACTGGGATCGAACCAAGACTAAAATCAGAACTAAACCAGGACTCAACCAGGATTGAACCAGGATCGAACCAAGACTAAAATTAGAACTAGACCAGGACTCAGCCTGGACCCAACCAGGATCAAACCAAGACTAAAATTAGAACTAAACCAGGACCCAACCAGGACGAAATTTAGAACTAAACCAGGACTTAACTAGGATGGAGTCAGAACTACTCTACTGAAAACTATCACTTAATGACATCACAGGGTGGAACAGAGCGTTAGAACATTAGAACATGACTCAAACCTCACAAGAGTTTATTTTTTACCTTTAAAGCTGCACTGTACCTGGAATTTTCCACAGTGCGGCTTTAAAACTCTCCATTTTTTAACTTTTACAGCAGATTTAAAGCCTCTTCTCCGAGTTAAGGCCATAAATTGC